CTAGTGTTGGTCTTTCCATCAGCTTTAGGTTCATATACCGTGTATTGTGATGCTTCAGCGTTGGGATTGGTTGTTTGTTGATGCAGGAGGGCAGAGTTATTGTTTATTCTTCTTGTCAGTTGAAGCCCCATGAGAAGAACTACCCCGTTCATGATTTGGAGTTGGCTGCCATAGTTCACGCATTGAAGATTTGGAGGCATTACTTGTATGGCGTATCTTGTGAGGTGTTCACTAATCATCACAATTTTCAGCATTTGTTCAATCAAAAGGACCTTAATTTGAGACAGCGGAGATGGTTGGAGTACCATCAGGGAAAGGCCAATGTGGTGGCCGATGCTTTGAGCTAAAAGGCAGTGAGTATGGGGAGTTTGGCATATGTTCCAGTTGGGGAGAGACCTCTTACAGTTGATGTTCAGGCCTTGGCCAATCGGTTCGTGAGGCTAGATATTTCGGAGCCCAGTCGGGTTTTGGCTTGTGTGGTTTCTCGGTCTTCCTTATATGATCACATCAGAGAGCGCCAATATGATGATCCTCACTTGCTTGTCCTTAAGGACAGAGTTCAGCATGACGATGCTAGAGATGTGACCATTAGAGATGATGGGGTGTTGAGGATGCAAGGCCGAATTTGTGTGCCTAATGTGGATGGGATTCGGGAGTTGATTCTGGAGGAGGCCCAGAGCTCGCGGTATTCTATTCATCCCGGTGCCGCGAAGATGTATTAGGATTTGAGGCAGCACTACTGGTGGAGAAGAATGAAGAAAGATATTATGGCATTTGTAGCTCGGTGTCTCAATTGTCAGCAGGTGAAATATGAGCATCAGAGACCGGGTGGATTACTTCAGCAGATGGATATTCCCGAGTGGAAGTAGGAGAGGATCACTATGGACTTTGTTGTTGGACTTCCATGGACTTTGAGAAAGTTCAATGCTATTTGGGTGATTGTGGATCGGCTGACCAAATCCGCGCACTTCATTCATGTTTGTACTACTTATTCTTCAGAGCGATTGGCAAAGATCTATATCGGAGAGATTGTTCGTTTGCATGGTGTCCCAGTTTCCATCATTTCAGATAGGGGCACTCAGTTTACCTAGCAGTTTTGGAGGTCTGTGCAGCAAGAGTTGGGTACTCAGGTTGAGTTGAGCACAACTTTTCATCCTCCGACGGACGGGCAGTCCGAGCGTACTATTCAGATATTGGAGGACATGGTGCGTGCTTGCGTCATTGATTTCGGAGTGTCATGGGATCAGTTTCTACCGCTTGCACAGTTTGCTTATAACAACAGTTACCAGTCGAGTATTCAGATGGCTCCATATGAGGCTTTGTATGGGAGGCGGTGTAGATCTCCAGTTGGTTGGTTCGAGTCCGGTGAGGCTAGGCTAATGGGGACAGACTTGGTGCAGGATGCTTTAGAAAAGGTGAAGGTGATTCAGGTGAGACTTCGTACAGTGCAGTCTAGACAAAAAGAGTTATGCTGACAGGAAGGTTCGGGATGTGTCCTACATGGTTGGTGAAAATGTTCTGTTGAACGTTTAGCCCATGAAGGGTATTATGAGATTTGGGAAGAAAGGGAAATTGAGTCCTCGGTTTATTGGGCCTTTTGAGGTGCTTTAGAGGATTGGGGAAGTGGCGTATGAGCTTGCTTTGCCACCCAGCTTGTCGAGTGTGCATTCGGTATTTCAGGTTTCCATGCTCCGGAAGTATATTGGGGATCCATCTCATGTTCTGGATATCAACACGGTTCAGTTGGATAATGACTTAACCTATGATGTGGAGCCAGTAGCTATTTTGGGTCGTCAGGTTCGAAAGTTGAGGTCAAAGGATATAGCTTCAGTAAAAGTGCAGTGGAGAGGTCGGCCCGTGGAGGAGGCTACCTAGGAGACCGAGCGGGAGATGTGGAGCAGATATCCTCACCTGTTTGAGGCTTCAGGTATGTTTCTTGACTCGTTTGAGGACGAACGTTTGTTTAAGTTAGGGAGGATGTGACGACCCAGCCAGTTGTCTCATGAGTTACCGCTCCGTTTTTCCCATTTCTACTTCTTTATACCTTGTTTATCCGTGTTTTGTGGTACCGGGTTGGTCGGATCGAATCCGGAATGATTTTGGTAAGGTTTGAGACACTTAGTCTCTTTTGAGAGAGCTTAAGTTGGAAAAGTCAACCGGATGTTGACTTATGTATTAGAGGGCTCGGATATGAGTTCCGATGGTTCGGTTAGCTTTGGGAGGTGAGTTTTGACTTAGGAGCATGATCAGAATGAATTTTGGAGGTTCGTAGTAGATTTAGGCTTGAATTGGCGAAATTGATATTTTGGCGATTTCCGGTTGGTAGGCGAGATTTTGATATGGGGGTCGGAATGGAATCTCGAGAGTTGCAGTAGTTCCGTTGTGTCACTTGGGATATGCGTGCAAAATTTCAGGTCATTCGGATATGGTTTGTTTGGGTTTCTGATCAAAAGCGGAATTCGAATGATTTTAGAAAATTTGGCTTGAATCCGATGTGTTTTGGGTGATTTGACGTTGTTTGAGGTGATTTGATGATGGGAACAAGTTTGAATAAGGTAGTAGGAGATGTTTGTGCTTTTGGTTGAGGTTTTGGGGGCCTCGGAGTGATTTCGGATGGTTAATGGGAAGTTTGGATTGTTGTTGCAGCTGTTGAATGGCTGCTTCTGGTATTTTCGCACCTGCAGTTTGGGGACCACAGGTGCCGCGCCGCATGTGCGAGAGAGTGGACGCAGAAGCGCATTATGGGGATTTGTCAGGGACCGCAAAAATGGCTAAGAGGACCGCATCTGCGGAAGGATGGTCGCATATACGGATGGTGGCCAGTTAAGTGATTTCCGCAGAAGCGGAATAATGATCGCAAATGTCGTACCGCAGATGCGGTTGAAGGACCGCAGATGCAGAAAGGCCTGGGCAGAACATATAAGTTTTTTCATTCGAGATTTTGAGCTATTTTCACCATTTCTACTTCAGCTTGGGAGCTTTTTGGGTGATTTGAAAGAGGGAATTCAAGGAGACTTCATTGAGGTAAGGGATTTGGACTTAAAACTCATTCCTATACTATTATTCCATGGATTAGAGCTAGAAATTTAGGAAATCAAGGGTGAAATTTGGGAAACCTAGGGTTTGGAAACTTAGACCTTTAATAGAGGATTTGAAGGACCATTTGTGGTCAAATTTGAGAACTTTTGATATGTATGAACTCGTGGAGAGATAGGAAACCTATTGATGTAAAAATTATTGAATTTCGAGACGTAGGCCCAAGGGCCGAGTTTTGGTAATTTCTGGATTTGTGCCCTTTATTGATTGTTTTCGCTTGGGCTTCGTTTCCTTAGCATATTTTGACGTCCTCGTTCTGATTTTGAATAGATTCGACGTGCATGGAGGCCAATTCGAGGAGCAAAGGCGTCACGAGTTAGGGATTTGACCGGTTCGAGGTGAGTAATGATTGTAAATGATGTTCTGAGGGTTTGAAACCCTGTATTGCACATCGTAGTGCTATATTGAGTGAGGCACACGCTTGATAACGGTGTGGGGTCGTGCACTATTGGGAATTGTGGCTTGGTCCGTCCCGATTGATGATTTTACCGCGTATTTGACTGAAATCTATTTGTTATCATCATTACTTAGGCTGAACGCCATATATGGGCCTTGTGCCAACTATTTGAACCCTTCAGGGATTTTTACTGGTATTTTCTCACTGCTTTGACTTTATACTTAAACTCAATCATGTTATATTTCACTATTTTTCGTACTCAGCCAGGTTTACTCTATTTTATCACTTATATGATCTTTTGAATGATATTTTGGACTGAGAAACATGTTTTACTACTGCCCGAGTGGCTTGTGAGGATTTTTGACTTAGTAAGGCCGAGAGCCTATGTTGTGAGGAAACATTTGATACCGATAATGAGGCCGAGGGTTTGAGATATGTATGCCACGAGGTGGCTTGACTGATATGAGGCCGAGGGCCAAGTTTTGATGCCACGAGATGGTTGTTATTGCTCTTGGGCTGTAANTGGTGTTGTTTTGAGATATTGCCCGAGGGGCGGATTTGTTGATACTGTGCCCGAGGAGCGAACTTCTATTTGTTTAATTTACCTCCACTGCCTGTCAACTACCTGTTTATTTGTTGAAAAAGAATTTTACTTAACTTTTCACTGGTTTACGACTTTTACATGGTTTTACTGCTTCATTATAGAATGCCTTGTGCCTTACGTGTTTCCTTACTTTCAGTCGTTATTTACATTTATTACTCACTGAGTTGGATTACTCACTTTACTCCCTGCACCCTGTGTGCAGATTCAGGCATAGCTGGTTCCGCTCCCGAGTGCTGATCCCTCTAGCTTCAGGCGGACATTCGTAGTTCACGAGGTAGTTGTCGGCGTACGTAGCCCCGTGTCTCTACTCCTTTATCACTTCTATCTCTTTTCAGACAGTTGTACTAGTTTATCGACTTAGCGGATTTGTATTATGAATTATAGATGCTCATGACTAGTGACACCCCGGTTAGGGCCGTGTATGGGTGTTCTTCCGCGTATTTATGTTATCATTTTATTTCGGATTTATTTTATCATGTTTGGACCGTATCTTAAATGCTTAACTGTTAATAATTGGAAATGGAAAGTGTCGGCTGGCCTTGTCTTCACGAGAGGCGCCATCACGATCGGGTCCGGACCACGGCAGCTCATACTTTTCAAACTTGATACCATATATGAAATTATATTCATATACACACATTATAAAACTGCTCATAACCTGTATTAGTCCAGTGACTGTTCATAAATTATACATTTCGCTAACACATAAATTATACATTTCGCTAAACATGTATAGTATTTGCTATATATTTCTCTTTGCGGGAGGGTAATACAAAGCAAAGGACGTACCAACCAAATACGGAGGAGATACCGATATTAAGATGCAGCCAATAGATTAGCCATAAAACATAGTGCATTTTTATTAAACTTCTGTTTAACGATAAAAAAGCAGATATGACTGCAGTTGTCAAACTAAATAAAATACCACTAGCAAACTAGCATAAGAGCGAAACATTCATAGGAGGATTCCTGCATCATTTCTTATTGTGACCTTGTTGTCCACACAAACTACATGTAATTTTACATCTTTTTGCTTGAAATTCACCGGCACCTTTCATTCTCATCTTTTTTGGCCTTCCAGATTTAACTCTTACTTTTGGTGGTTTAACGACATCCCCTAAGACATCTCTAGGAATTTCCCATTGACTTTCATCAGGAGTTGGATAAATAACCAAAACTTCATAGGTCTTTAACATGTAATCCTTGCTACAATATCCCGAGCAATATTGGTATTCATCCATGTGGTATTTAGTCACAATTGCCAATGCATGCTCACATGGTATCACATCCATTTGGAACCTTCTGCAACTATATTGTCTTTCCCGCATGCACACCACAAATCGCCTACCATCATCAACGACTGTGAACAAGTGATCATTTGATGGTATAACCTATAATATAACAAATTATCCGAAAGTAAAATAATAACCTTATACATTGTATAATGGAATTTGGTCTTTATGCAGTAACACCAACATTTAAAACCAGAACATAAAATATGTAGCTTTATACACAACATTAAATCTATATCTAGATGTTGTAGCTTTATACATAACATAAAATATGATATTTATGTAGTAACACCAACCTCAAAACATTGTATGACGTATTTAAGTATTTTAAATTTTATACCTTGTATGAATTCAATATAATTAGCACCATTAGAAATGGTATTAAAACTTAACTTACCGTCATACTTCTTGACGCAATGATTTTATCCATAAAAAATATTTCATATTTTGTACTAAGCGTTGTACTAGTTGCCATTGCTCCATTTCTGTTTGTGTTACTCCAAGACGCAACCAACTTCATCAAGTAGTCAAGAAGATTGTATATATGTAGATCCATCGCCGCCTTATTTGTAGAATTCATAGATTCTGCAATATTTGAAGTCATCACCATGGACCTGTTAACTATTGAATGCGCTACGGACCACCTATCATATCCAATGTTGAATAAGTATTGTTTCACACTCCCATCAAGGTTACATATTTCTGCCATGTGTTGGTTGAATTCGTCAATTATGTGTAACTTAGCCATAGCAAAATATGGGCCTTATTTTCTTCTGGCTCTTCTTGAACCTCAACTTTATGTTATTCCATAAATGGAATATGCATACACAATGAGGCACTTCTAGATACACATCTGAAGTTGCCTTCAAAATGCTTTCATGCCTGTCGGATACGATGCACATTCCCCCCCTTATACCGTATGTTTCTCGAAAATTCTGGAAGACCTATTCCCATGATGCATTATTCTCTGAATTAACCACAGCATATGCCAGTAAAAATATTTTACCTGATTGAACATCCCAAAAATAACTTTACTTAAGCTTATATTATACAACATATTAAATGAAAAAGTGGATTTTATGTAAGAGTACAAGGATATGATTACAAATACAAGATTTATACAATAAATAAAATATACTGCATGTAATTTCTATTTACCACATTATATTCAATGAATGTATACTTCAACTAACCTGCCGTATCTTGTGTGCAAGCCGTTAGTTTGGTCTCTCTGTGTGTTGATTTTAAAAAGTTGCCATCAACAAATACATTAGGCATGCAATACTCCCACCCTTTAATTGATGAGTAGAGTGCCACATACACATATAAGAAGCAGCCGTCATCTGACTTTTCTAGTCTTGTCACAGATCCAGGATTTATATACATTAACATATACAAAAACCGCGACACCTTATTGTATGAATTGATTGGTTTACCTCTTAGTAGCTTGAAAGCTCTTTCCCTCGACCTCCATGCATTCATATAGTTCAAATCAACTCCATATTCCCTTTTGATGTTACGCTGCATTTCTGTTGGAGTATACTCTAGCTTAGGATCATCTAACTTTTTCATTATCAAAGTTCCAACGAGATTTGAGGTAGCCTGTCGTTGTGAAAATAATCTGGAACTATTTTCACAAGTGTATATTTTTCAAACTTTCTCGCCTTAAATATATTCGAGGTGTTTAGGCTTGACGACTTAAGATTCCATGAGCATTGATCATCCACACATACAAGATAATACCTGCAATATGATTAGACTACATACGTGAATTACTATTTTGATTTCAATTATAAAATAGCAATGTAAGTTAGCTAAAAACTAGTTTGAAACGCTACTGATATAGACATACAACAACCATCATTCCAAGTATAATTCGTGCATATACAAACCTAAAACACAAGCGTTACTGTTAGTCTCTTAATGATACTAGCTGAAAAATATACATGTATAATTTAAGTTTATTTCTAATAATACGTTACATATTTTTAGTTCTTCTGCATCCTTCAATGAACCTTTTATATATAAAATTTTATACGGACGTTAATTTCACATTTACCTGGTCTTATTTGAACGCTCAACCTTGAACTAGAACTTTTCTCGGATTGCAAGATGTTTCATAACATTTTGCAGTATATACTTGTTTTTGTACAACTGACCTTAACCTCTTGATGTTTACTGTTATCAATAATACCATATTAATATTCATCGACCCGCATAACATCATAATCCTCCTCATTTTCAAAACTAAACAATTCAGTGGTTTCCAGATTGTCAACCATTGGCAATTTCTAAAAAAACATTGAAGTTCGATTCGTTTATAACTGAATTCGAGAATGTACCATCATTAACCTGCTTCTTCTTGCTTATACACAAAGGATAATCAATGAATGACAAATTTTTCCTTTTCAACTCCATGTACAAGCCTAAACTCCTGTCTTCGTATATTTTTATTGGTGAAAAATTCTCTTTCACAGAAAATCAATATCCATTGTATCACTGTTTGCATCAACTCCAAGGATCTTTGATATCTCCGAACGAATAGATTTAAAATCCCAATTTATATTGATCAATATCCCATCGACGCTGAAATTTTTAAACCTGTGTTGCATATCCCATTCCCCGCTATGTTGATGCAAAATAGTGATTCTGTTATCCATGGCAAAACAAATAAACTAGATATTTAGTTATTTCCTTTCTGCTAGTTTGCTTCTCGTGTAATATATTATGCAATATATATAGAATACAAAAGATTACTACTGTTACGTATAACCCAATTGTCGGACACTAAATTAGGGATCATTAAGGCGGGGAGCAGATTTCAAGTGAAACTGAAACACGTATTTCCATCAACGATTTTGATGCTCGATTTTAGGGGTATCTTTTAAAGATTTCTTGCTAGAAATATAAATATTTAGCGGCCTTATGTGTAAAATAAGTCCAGCGGCTACCCAAGTGGAATATTTCCTAAAATTTTGCCTACTTATATTTTTTGCCCTAATAATTACTAGTAACAATATTTGGGGGCCCTAATTTTTAAGGGGCCTAAAGCAAGGTTCTCACTTGATTGACCCTTGAGCTGGCTCAGACTAGAACTTGAAGTCTAATCCTTTACTAATTGTAAGTAACTGATAAATATAATTATGTTAGATAATTCAATAGAAATCTTTCTAATAGTTGGTAAATGGTAAATAAATTTATAATTTGACATATAGAAGTAAAAATTCAACAACAACAACAACTATCCAGTAAAATCCCACATAGTGGGGTCTAGGGAGAGTAATGTGTACGCAGACCTTACCCCTACCCCGATAGGGGCAGAGAAACTGTTTCCGATAGACCCTCGGCTCAGAAAGACAAAAATAAAAAAAAATAAAAAAAATACAAGAAAAGAGAATTCATTAGTACCTCCAGTAGAAACAGTAATAGTAACAAAAGCATAAAAACCAAAAGATGAATGACATGCAATAACAGTAACCAGAATCTAAGGCCCGGGGCTAAGATAAACAACAAGAATAATGTGGGTTCAACATAAACTGCAAGCCATCTAAGATCAACCCTAATCCAACCCCGCCTCACCCTCGGTTTGAAGTAAGGAAAGCTTTACTACCCCTATCCTACAACCCTAATGATTGACCTCCGGGCCTTCCTATCAAGGGCTATGTCCTCGGAAATCTGCAGTCGTACCATGTCCTGCCTGATCACCTCTCCCCAATACTTCTTAGGTCTCCCTCTACCTCTTCTCGTACCCACCACGGCCAGCCGCTCACACCTCCTCACCGGTGCATCAAGGCTTCTCCTCTGCACGTGCCCGAGCCATCTGAGCCTCGCTTCCCGCATCTTGTCATCCACAGGGGTGACCCCCACCTTCCTCCGAATATCTTTATTCCTAATCTTGTCTATCCTAGTGTGCCCGTATATCCACCTCAGCATTCGCATCTCTTCTACTTTCATCATCTGGATATGGGAGTTCTTAACCGGCCAACACTCTGCCCCATACAACATGACCAGCCTAACCACAGCTCTATAAAACTTACCTTTGAGTATCGGTGACACTTTCTTATCACACAAGACTCCAGATGCAAGCCTCCATTTCATCCAGCCCGCCCTTATGCGGTGAGTGACGTCCTCATCAATATCTCCGTCCCCCTGAATCATTGACCCAAGGTACTTGAAGCTATCTCTCTTAGGGATGACCTGTGACCCAAGCCTCACGTCCCCGCCTACTTCCCTCGACTCAGCGCTAAACTTGCACTCCAGGTACTCTGTCTTAGACCTTCTCAATTTGAAACCCTTAGACTCGAGAGTCTGTCTCCAAACCTCCAATCTCTCATTAACACCGACCCTCGACTAGTCAATTAGAACTATGTCATCAGCAAATAATATACACCATGGCACCTCCCCTTGAATATGGTGTGTCAAAGCATCCATCACCAAGGCAAATAAGAACGGGTTAAGCGCAGAGCCTTGTGTAATCCCATTACAACCGGAAAATGCTCCGAGTCGCCTCCCACAATCCTAACCTTAGTCTTAGCTTCATCATACATGTCCTTGATCGCTCGTATGTAGGCTACCGGCACGCCCTTCGTCTCAAGACATCTCCAGAGCACCTCCCTAGGAACCTTATCATACGCTTTCTCCAATTCAATAAACACCATGTGCAAATCCTTCTTCTTATCCCTGTACTGTTCCACCAACCTCCTAATAAGGTGGATAGCTTCCGTAGTGGAGCGGCCCGGCATGAACCCAAACTGATTGTTGGATATAGACGTCATCTTCCTCTCCCTCACCTCCACCACCCTCTCCCAGACTTTCATGGTATGGCTAAGTAACTTGATACCCCTATAATTGTTACAACACTAGATATCACCTTTGTTCTTGTACAACAGTACCACTGTACTCGACCTTCATTCCTCCGGCATCCTCTTTGTCCTAAAAATTACATTGAACAACCCAGTCAGCCATTCCAATCCTGCTCTACCCACACACTTCCAAAACTCAACCAGAATTTCTTCTGGCCCCGTTGCTCTACCCCTACTCATCTTACGCAAAGCCCCCACGACCTCCTCTACCTTAATGCGCCTGCAATACCTAAAATCTTGGAGACTCTCCAAATGCCCTAAGTCCCCTAGTGCTATATCCCAGTCCCCCTCCTCATTAAGAAGACCATAAAAGTACGTCTGCCATCTCTGCTTAATCTGGGACTCCCCCATCAATACTCTACCATCATCGTCTTTGATGCACCTTACTTGGTCCAGATCCCGGGCCTTCCTCTCCCTCGCTTTAGCCAGCTGAAACAACTTCCTTTCACCGCCTTTCTCCCCAAATTCCTCGCATAGACGGCTAAACGCTGCATTCTTAGCCTCCGTGACCGCCAACTTTGCCTCCTTCCTAGCCACTTTGTACCTCTCTCTATTCGCACTCCTCTCCTCCTCGCTTGTGCTCCCTGCTAACTTCACGTACGCTACCTTCTTCGCCTCCACTTTACCTTGGACTATGTCATTCCACCACCAGTCTCCTTGGTACCTGCCAGAAAAATCCTTCGATACACCTAGCACCTCTCTCGCCGCCTCCCTCACATAGTTTGCCGTCGTCGACCACATAGTGCTTGCATCTCCACTACTCCTCCAAGCTCCCATAGCGAATAACCTCCCTTCCAACTCTTGGGCTTTATCCTTGGTTAAAGCTTCCCATCTAATCCTCGATCGGCCACGAGCATACCTCTTCTTCCTCTTCATCATAATGTCGATGTCCATCACTAAGAGCCTATGCTGAGTCGCGAGGGTCTCTCCCGGGATAACCTTGCAATCCTTGCACAACCCTCTATGACACCTTCCGAGGAGAAGGTAATCGATCTGAGTCTTCAC